TTATTTAAATATATTTGTTTTAATATAAAAAAGGCCAAAAGTATTCACAACACCATATATTATTTTCAAGACAAAAATACAAAAAAAAAACTTTTTCTTTAAACTTATTTTCTTTTAATCAACTAAATACAATTAGGGTTTTATTTAAAAAAATCTTTTCTTAATTAATTTATTTTCTTAATTAATTTAATTTAATTTTGGTTTAATTATTTTTCTCTAATTAGGTTTAGGTTAAAACCTCTTTCATATAAAAATCCAAACACAAAAATCATTTCTTTCAATTTGCATTTGTACTTTATATATATTTTTCAATTATTTGTACATATTCAATTTGGTTGTAATAGATTAATTAGGTTTATATTATTGCAATCCCCATTCATAAATTGTATACCCCCTCCCACAAATGTTGTAATAGCGTAGTAACTTTAAATTTTGCAATTTATCGCTTTTACATAACATGCTAGTAATTAGGATTTGTATGGAAAGAATAAAATCACTCAAGTATAAAACTCTAATTTAAGACAAAATCAAGCATGAAAATAATACACTTGCACACAAGCACCCCTAGGGTTATCCCACTTGGTTGCCTTATACAAAATGACCATATTACGCATGTGAGGTATCTTAGCAAAAACAAGCAAAAACAAGATCATAGTCCCTCGATGACGCTACCTAAGTTGCCTTACAAATGATCTTAGTCCCTCAAAAAGAATGCTAAGATACCTTGCAATATTGCTAATCATGGCTATACGATGACCCACGCACGTCCCGTTAACATCCAAAGATAGGGTTGCTTACCAAATCAATGGTAAGACAACAATGTCAAAGGAAAAGAAAATGAACAAGAAAGACATTTGAGTAAGTAGATAGCTTCTAATTACTTGCTCCATTTCAAAACAAACATCCTTGCTATTTTCAAAACAAACACCTACACATTTCAAAAACATCTTACAAACTTGAAAACATTTTCAAAAGATCAAACATCTTTATATACATTCTTACGAACAAGAATCATTACAAAGATTGCCTAAACAGTGGCCTCTTTACAAAATACTTTCAAAAACCACACAAAAGCACAATTTTAAACTAAAGCAAGTGATCTAGCAAGTAACTAAGAGCCCATGGAAAACCATGGATAAAAAGGGTGTTAATACCTTCCCTTTTTATAATCTACCCCCCGAACCCAAGAAACAATCTCAAAGGTTTTTCCTGTGCTTTTTCACCTTTCCTTTTGGATAAAAGAAAAGTTGGTGGCGACTCTTGCTAACCGCAACATTTGCGATAAAACGCAAAACCTTCAAGTTAGTCCTTCCATCATATCACAAACACAGACTCATCTTGAGGGAACCCTACCCAGGTTCCTTCTCTTGAATTTCCAGATGCAGTTTTACACAGACTCTTCCTAAAGCAACCCTACCCAGGTTCCTTCTCATAATTTCCAGATACAGTTTTACCCGGACTCATTCTGAAGCTGCCCTACCCAGGCTCCCTCTAATATATCTCCTAAAATAGCCTTACCCAGGTTCCTTCTCATACACTTCCAGATGAAGTCTTACCTGGACTCCTGCTGAAACAACCCTACACATGTTTCTTCTGATATATTTCTAGATAGCAGTTAATTTCATTCTCCCCATCAAATTACTACGAAGCCTGGATTTCAACCAGAAAACAACAAACTTTCTCTCTCCAATCTAGAGATAACCCCTCAGTAAAGCCATGGACAACTGAAGTTCCAAGACTCTATTCCCCACAGAGTTTTCCTCAAACAGGAAAATAACAGAAATCAACATCCACCAGTGGACTCCTCCTCAGATAACAGGAACAGGAATCCCCATAAAGAGACCTCTTATAAAGTCAGCATCTACTCTGGATGGCATCTTTAAGCCCATCTTCAACGACTCTCCTTCATATTCTCTAAATGGCGTCTTTAAGCCCATCTCCGACGACTTTCAGTCATCTTCTCCAAATGGAATTTGTAAGCCCATTCCTGACATCATCAACCATCAGTATTACTTCATGCGAGTGCAAATTTCTGGGCACTCTAGTGTTCAATTATCTTCCACCTTCAGATCACGAAAGGGAAACAAGCCAATCTAAATCCTCAGGTTTAAGAAGATTGAACAGGGGCAGATGTTGTACCCAAAATTTTCCCTCCCATTTTCACACAAGACATACTCCTAGAGGTCCTCAATTGCTCAAGGTTGACCAAGAATTGATCAGACAAATTTTCCTCCTAAGCATTGGCCTTCCAACTAGGGTTTCATTTTTAACTGAGATGTGTGAGCTCCAAAGGTCTCAAATGTCTTCCATGGTCCTAATATGTCTTCAAGATTACCTGCGACAAATTTCATGCCTTGCACTACAAGTTTGCTCAGTCAATTGCTCAAATGTTGAAAAATTAACTATACTAGGTCAAAAGTCAACTATGGCCTATATACAGTCAAACTTCAAGATTTTTGGTCAACATCAAAATTTTGAAGTTACATACATCATTTGATCAAGGGTTGATCATGATTCCTCAATAAATGCTCCTAATTCATCAAAAGTCAAGAATTGCTAATTAGGGTTTCTATAGGAAAAGTCAACCAAACTTTGACCAAAAATAACTTTATCATACTTCATCCATTTTTTCCCAACCAAATCTCATTTTGAATAAAATCTAATTCCCTACATCTTCTCTTCATCCCTCAAGTCCAAGAAATGGACCATTTGAAAGATACAAGCTTATACATTACAGGTCATTTTCAAAAAGTCAACAAAAGGCACTTTTTGTCAAGACCATTTACATCAATATAAAATCTTCAAATCCAAAATTGGTCAAAATAGGATTGAAGTGTACATCTCGGGATTTCCAAAAAGTCCAAGATTATCATCATGAGATAAAAATTGAGCAAGTTATGGTTTGCCCAAGTTGGGAAATTTGAGAATTTTCAAGAATTATGCATTGAGCAAACTTGAAGTTTTAGGTCAATGGCTTAATTTATTGGACTTCAAACATCTTCCTAAGCATATAGAGGACCTCTAAAATTATTCTTGCCATGCCTTGTATTTTCTAACTATTTTATTCATATTTATTTTAATTTATTTCAAATAAATATAAAATAAAATGTATAAAATAATTGAAAATGAGATTTGAGCTTTGGGTTGATGTTTTGGACAGACTAGGCCCATAAAATTTCGTGCAAGCAATGTCCACATTCATTAAAATTCAAAAAGGACAAGATTCCATGTCTTTGGCAAAGTTACAAAATATCATTCATGACTTTAAAAACACATGTTTATGGTTGTTATTACCTTTATTCTCTTGTTTCCTCCCTCCTCTCTATATAAAGGACACATTAGAAAGCTTCAAGACACATGATATATAGACTGGAAAAGCTCTACAAATTTTGCAAAAAATATCAAAGTTGTAAAATTCGCATTTTAGGTTCCAGCCTTCCTCAGTCCAAACAAAAGATCTAAATACATTCCTGGAGGCTCCCTGAAGCTTTTGCAATTATTACCAAGCCTTGAAACATTACAAAACGCCTCAGTAAGCTCCATTTTATATTTTCTAACTTGTTTCATGCAAATCTGGTGCTCCTCGTAGCTAGATGTGCATTATACACCATCAGACATGTGCCATCAGATGTCCATCTGATCAGATCTAGTGCACTCCATCTGTGAGCTCACCATGTGCCATCAAGACCAATCCACATTGGATCCAGAAGAAAATATGGGCCTCTCCCTTCATGGGCCAGCGAATTCAACAACCACACCCCCACTTTTTTTTTACTATCTCATGCCCATCTAGTTTTTTTGTAATGTTTTAATTTCTTTTATCTTCTTTACTTAATTAAGCAAATAATAATAATAAAAACTCACAAAAAAATTAGGCTTAAACTTTTTTTAAAATTAAAATAATGAATTGCTTTAATTAATTAATTAATTAATTAAATTTTAACTACTTTCTTATTTTAAAATGAACTAGAACTTAGGATTTAATTTATGTTTCAAATGTTTTCTTAATAAAAAATGCAAAAATATTAGAATTAGATTAATTTCATTCAATATTTATTTTCTTAAATTGAATTTAGATTTAGTTTAATTATTTTTCTTGAAATAAATAAAAATAAAACTAAAAATATTTTTCTTGTTTACCTTGAATTTTTCTTAGGATTTTTAGACGTAATATTTATTTCGCGCGCGTTATTTTTATTCTCGCATTTTATATAAATAATGTAACTGATTATGGGATGTAATAGTCTAGATTTAAAATTCTGCATTTTATTTTCTTGCACTTTTTTATGTAATTGTCCCAAAGCGTTGTAATAGTCTAGGATTTAAATTTTCGCACTTTAAATTTCTATAAATATTAACTGTTAGTAACTAGGCGTGCATGATAAGACTGGAAATTAAAACGTTAGCAAACTTAATAATGCAAGATAAATAATCGAATTTAACACATATGCACATATGCACCCCTAGGGTATCCCACTTTGGTTGCCTTTAAGAAATAAAACAGTCATGAGGCAGGAACGCTTTAGCAAAGACCCGTAAATCAAAAAGAGCATAGTCCCTCGATGACCCTACAGTTGCCTTTCGGTAAATGATATAGTCCCTAAAAGAAAATTGCTAAAGCGTCTCCACAAGTTTCTTTTGTGACTGTAAAACGTCCCTTCGATTGTCCCTCAAACATCTGACGACAAAGCTACCTACTCATTAATAGTAGGATAGCTTTGTCTAAAGGAAAAGAGGAAAAGAATAACCCTTTTCGAGTAATAAAGTAGATAGTTGTTACAAACACTACTTTTCAAAAGAAATTTAAAAACACTTTGTATACTTTCTCCACTATCCCGAGAAACATTACAAAGTTCGTCGTACTAAGGCGTTTTCAAAACATTTTCAAACACACAAAGCACGAAGGTATTTTTAAAAAAAAAGAGCAAACCTCTAAGAGCCCGTAGAGAACTACGGATGGAAAGGGTGCTAGCACCTTCCCTTTCCATAATCTACCCCCCTTAATCAGAAACTCTCGAAAAAGGTATTTTTCTGTTCTTTTCACCCTTTCCTTTGTCGGATAAAAGAAAAGCTGGTGGCGACTCTTGCTTACCGCACATTTGCAAACACAAACACAAAACCAGTATATTAACAGTCAGTTCTTCCACCGTATCACAAAGAGGAACAGAAGGATGTAATCTTAGTGACTCTTTGATTACGGCTTTTAAATAATTAAATTCTTCAAATGTAGCATCATCAATCTTACCTCTCCTATTAATCCATTCTCTAACTTCAGCTTGTGCTTTATTCAAAACTCTAGTATCCTTTAACATCTCAGCCATTGTCCAGTTAATGAGAGATGTCGTTGTGTCACTTCCACCAGTGAACATATCCTTAAATTATAAAAACTTGTCATTTAACTTTGTTTAAACTTTAAAAACATATAATATATATCAAAATATACTTAGCGTAACATTAATTGCATACCAAAATTATGGCCTTGACATTATCAGAGGTTAAATGAAAATCTGAATCCCTCTCATTGTCATGAAATTTTAAAAGACTATGCATCAGATCTTCATCTTCATCAGCCAAACCTTGTTTATCTCTTCTTGATCTTGCTTCTTTATGGTCATTGATGATATGTTCTAATATCTTGTATACTTGTTGGCTTAACTTCTCAATCTTAGGCCTCATTCCAGAGAGATTTTGAATCCATTTAGATGGAGGAAACAAGTCGCCAATATAGAACCCTCCAGCAAGTTTTATAAGTTGTTGTACAATTGATATGAACTCTTCTTGTTCTGAATATTTCTTACCAAAAGCAGCCATTGAAGTGAATGTATACATCATTAAAATAATTGCTTGAGTAAGATTGAATTATGATCCTTCATTTGAAGAAATGTTTTTCGAGAGAGTTGATCTCTTTCTCTCTTACTGGCCAAAGATATTTGACCCTTCTTGTGCTCAAAAGCTCAACAACATAAATCTTTCTAAGTTTTTTCCAGTAATCACCATAAGGTGAAAAGGCTATATTTGTTGAACTATAAGCGGCTATTTCTGCGACTACAAGATGAGGCCTTGATGCAAATGCAATTTCATGTGTTTTAAGGACCTCCCTAGCAACTTTTGGTGATGAAACAACAATTAAGAAGATCTCGCCAAGTTGGAGATGCATTAAGGGTCCATATAATTTGGCTAGATCTCTTAGTTTTCTAGGTGGGTTTGTTGTAACAAGATTGAGAATATTGCCTATAATTGGTAGCTTCCATGGCCCTGGGGGTATTTTTTAGTACTTGAATCATATTTTTTGCAATGATTCTTAATTTTTAATGCAATGATCATGAACAGAAAAATAGAAAAAAGGGTGAAGAAGTTGAGAATCTGAAGAGCCATGGAGATGAAAAGGTACTTTGAGATTGGACTATCACTGGAATATGGTATACTATATATAATTGGGTTAAATAAGTTTTTTGTCTCTGTAAATACAATTTTAGTTTTTAGTCCCTAAAAAATATTCCTTCAAAGATTGATCCCTTCAAAAAATTTCGTCTGGACTATTGGTCCCCAATGTCAAGTTCCACTAACGGCTTCCTATGTGGCAAGACAGGTGGATTAAATAATTTATTTTATTTTATGATGTGGAATTCATTACATAACTTCTTCCTAGTGGCATATCTCATTACATAACTTCTCCCAAGTTGAATGAATTACAAAATTTCTCCTTCGACAACATAACAAGACATTGACATTTCTGCCTCTTGTGGTCCCAAACATTGAAGAAACTTCATCTGGTTGCTGTGTTGATGTGGTCCCAACAACTATTAGGTAAGTCCCACTTGTTATAGTTTATTCATTCCGAGCATTACTTGCATGCCCCAAGGCGTGGTCCCAACTTCTAGGGTTTTTCATCTTTATTCTGTCTGTTGGTAATGTCTGAGTTACCCCTCCTTTTTTCTTGAAATGTGTAGGCAATGGGGTCATTTAAGGTTGTCTTTTATACCAAAGGGTCATTCGTAACGGATGAAGGGTTAAAATATGAAGGGGGTGATGTTTACGTTGTGTATGGGCAAGATCTAGATTTATGGTCATTCTTTGAAGCATGTGACTTAATTAAGGGTATGGATTCATCATTTAAAAATGAAGATGTGAAAATGTGGTGGAAGTCTGAACATGGCTCACTTGAAAATGATCTAAAACCCTTTGTTAATGATGAGGATGCAACAATGTTAGCTAAGTGTTCCGAGGAGAGTAAGTGTGATGTTAAGATATATACAGAGGAGAGATTATCTAGTGGTGAGAAGACTTATATGGAGAGGTTAAAATAGAAAGAAAAAGGCCACATTAATGTTGAGGAAAATGAAGATGGCGAGGACAGTGAATCATCTGAAGACTCATTAAATGGAATACACTTTGAAGATAGTGAAGAAGAGAGGATGCACGATTTTGATGAAGACATGGGTGAAGATGCTGATACATGTGGAGTGGGTAATGGTGATGGTACAAGTCAAATGGATAATGATCAAGGGATACCTCAAGGGTTGACTACAACTGAGATGCAAAGGGAACATGTAATTGAGGATGATTACATCACAGATGAACTTGATATTGGGCCAGATGATGATAGTGATAATGGTAGGCCTCCAGTGATAAGGTTTAATGAACATGAAAACCTTAGAAAAGAATTTAAATTCAAGGTGGGAATGGAACTTTCTTCTCTGAAGAAATTTAAAAAGGTTGTATTGGAACATAATGTGTTGAATGGTAAGGAGTTCAGGTTTGCCAAAAATGATGGGACAAGGTGTAGGGTTGTTTGTAAGGACAAACAACAATGTGATTACACGGTTTTATGCAGCGTGGTTTTGAGAACTGCAAGATTTAGGATCAAAACTCTATTTCAGAAGCACAAATATGGAAGAAAGTTCTTCAACAAGAATGATAATGCTGATTGGGTATCTAGAGTGATTGTTGACAAGTTAAAGAAAAATCTAGGTATGAAATTGAATGAAGTTGTAGCAGATGTAAGATTGAGGTTTGCTACAGAAATTACTGGATGTAGGGCTTTCAAATCAGGGCATCTAGCTAGAAAGGTTGTTGAAGGGGAATCAGCCAAGCAATACAGTATGTTATGGTCATATGGAGCTGAATTGAGGAGGGCATCCAAAGGAAACACATTTAAGTTGAACATTTCTGGTTTGCCACCTAGGTTTGAAAGGTGTTACATGTGCTTTGATGGTACAAAGAAAGCATTGAAGGGATGCAGACCATTCATAGGGTTAGATGGATGTTACCTAAAAAACAAATATGGTAGAATCTTGTTGATAGCTGTCAGTAGGGATGGCAATGACCAATATCTTCCACTTGCCTTTGGGGTGGTGGAGAATGAAACTAGGGACTCATGGAGTTGGTTTGTTAAGTTACTTCTGGAAGATATTGGTTATGATAATAGGTGGTGCTTCATGTCTGATCAGCAAAAGGTATGGTTAATGTGACTTTATCATTTAGTGTTTAATGTTACTTATTGATGTGGTGGTCATGTATATGTAGGGACTGGTGAATGTATTTGAGGAAGAATGTCCTGAGTTTGAGCACAGGTTTTTCTTAAGGAATTTATATGCTAACTTAAAGAAGAAGTTTGGGGGTCGAACACTATACAGAGATCTCATAATGGCTGCAGCAAAGGCAACCTATTTTGAAGCTCACGAAGATAAGATGAATCAAATTAAGGAGGTAAGTCCAGATGCTTTTGGATGGCTAAATGATATTCCCAAGAATAAATGGTGTAAACATGCCTTCCCTTTGTACTCTAAGTGTGATGTTCTTATGAACAACCTAAGTGAATCATTCAATGCTACTATTTTAATGCAAAGGGATAAACCTATAATTACCATGTTTGAGTGGATTAGGAACTATCTTATGGCTAGGTTTGCCACTCTTAGGGAGAAGGTTGAAAATTACAAAGGAGAGATCATATCTAAACCACTTAGAAGGTTAGATAGGGAGATAGAAAAAGTGCTAATTGGCTTCCCACATATGGAGGTAGATTAACATTTCAAGTATGTCATGTAATGTTCATAGAAAGTTAGGTTGTAGACTTGGCAAAACATACTTATTCTTGTAACTTTTGTGACTTGGTTGGGATCCCATGTAGACATGTTGTTGTAGACATACATTGGAAGGTAGATAATCCCATTAAGTATGCACACAACAGTTACCATAGGTCTACCTATGTCTCATGTTACAATGAAGTTATCAGTCCCATTAATGGCCAAAACAAATGGCCAAGAACTGCTGACTCTGAAATCTTACCACCAAGTTACAAGAGAGGTGTAGGTAGACCAAAGAAACTCAGAAGAAGAGATCCAGATAAGGCAATTCAAACAAGGTGGAAAAGGATAAACACAAGCCACAGGTGCAAGACTTGCTTGGAATATGGACACAATGCAAGGACATGTAAGAAAAACAAACAATTGGTAGTTGTTGAAGGTGAACTGCCAAGAGATGTTGCACCCACCCAAGGAAACCAAACACAAAATTTGGCTACTGCAGGATCCAAAAAAAGGGTTAGTAACTCAAACTGGACAAAAAATTTACATTAGAAATTCATATATAATTTTCAATATCTTGTTATAATTATGTTGGATGCAGGGTGGGCCAAAAGGTACAACCAAAACCAAAAAAGGAGGCACATATAAGAAATAAAAAACTGGAAATGAGAGTCATGCTATTGCAGGAACTGGGAGTCATGCTAATGCAGGAACTGAGAGTCATGCTACTGCAGAAACTAGGAGTCATGCTAATGCAGGAAATGAGAGTCATGCTAATGCAGGAAATGAGAGTCATGCTACTGCAGGAAATGAGGCTCAAGCACCAACTGCAACAACTATGAATCATGCTACTCAACCTGGAGAAAACCCTGAACCAACTGATGTGACATCTACTCAACCTGGGGTACACCTTTCACAAAATTATGTTACCTCATCTGAGGCAATGAGAATGTATTGTGGTAGAGATCTTGATGAACTAGAGGCATTGTTGAATGATGATGACATACTTGATATTTCATCATTAAGAATTGATACTAGTCCTGTAAAGAATAATATGCCTGGTCCCAAAACCTTTATTGGTAAATGTCCTAAGGTATCAAAACCTGCTAAACCTATTAAAGTTGTTAAACCTGCTACTAACCCAACTATGAGTGACCCTGTAAGTTTGTAACTTGTTCTAATAGACTTATTTGGCATGTTCTGTTTTTTTACATTGATAACATTGTTTTCATAACAGGTTAAAATCATGATATCACCAAGGAAAAAAATCAAAGATTGTTGCATATACAATTAGAAAGAGTGACAGACTTAGGACTTTGATGACAAAGAATATAGAGGGACCTGGAAGGGATCCAAATGATCCATTTGTAATACCTGAAGAAGACTCAACTACTGGAAGTTCTAGTGGAAAGGGAAAGAAGAAATGGGATGACATCCAGAGGAGAATGACTCGGTGAAAGCTCAAGAGTGACACAAATATAGTTTGGTTGTACCTTATGTCTTATGAAACAAATGAATGTTGTATTATTATGTACTTTGTAATGTGTTTTGATATGTACTTTTTTATGTGTTTTGTTATGCATTTTGTAATGTGTTTTGTTATGCACTTTGAACCTTTAATGTAATTTGTACTCACGTCTCAGTATGTGCTTAATTACGCACTTAACAATCAAATTACAAGCTTTTTATACCAATATTATAAACTATGTCAACTTAATCATAACAAACAATATTGATAACAATTCAGCACCTACAATTGATAACAAAATGAACATTGAAGCAAGACCTAAAGTCACAGTACATTCTCATTAGATGAATAATTTAACAACTACAATTGATAACAAAATAAATATTGAAGCAAGACCTAAAATCACAGTACATTCTCATTAGATAAACAATTCAGCAACTACAGTTGATAACAAAATACACATTTATCATAAATGACACAACAAGACACAACATCTTCAATCTTCCATGAAATTTTTCAGTTTTCAATTTGTTCTTCGAGTTCTTGTTCTTCTTCCTTGATTCTTCATACAAAGACTTCATATATCCCACATATGCCATGGCTTCCAACTCTGAGTTTCTAATGGTAACATCTTCATTTCCAGATTTTACACCGAGATCTCCA